TAAACCGTTTTATTTCTCACACAACCTTCCTCTGAGTCCATTAGGATTGCCATACGCCCAGGTGAGCTGCATAGCAAATGGGTTGTAGTACGAGTCATGCAAACAATGCTGAAGATCCACCTGCAGCCTGGATTCTGGCAGGACAGGTCCCCATCACTCTTCCCTTTGTTCTCTTTCTTTCCAGAGTCTGGGGATGGGTTTGCAATGTCATTTTTTCCTTTATCTTTCCATCTGAAGACTTATAAATAAATTATTTTAAAAATTCACTTCAGCCTAATCACAGTAGTGGGGGAAAAAACCCAAAGAAACCTCAAACTTCAGGGCCATGGCCACTGCATCGAAGAGATAATTATAACAAATTTTTATTGAAGTGGAGAGTGATTATCATGTTCTAACAAACATATTAAATAATTCATTATTATTATTTTGGCACCACTTTGTGAACCAGGTGTTTAGGAAGCTGTTTCAGATGGAAGCATGTAATGAAGCCCCTGGGGTCCTTCCCCACTAGCCAGTAGCATGAGAAGAACCACAAATGCTTGGATGTGGCTAGAGCTACCCAGAGCCTGGCTCCAGCATGGCCAGCAAAGGCCTCATATTAATATCAGAAGATGCTATGGTTTTATTTATTTTTCATCATTCTCCATGAATATTTCTCAGTTTTCTAACTACTCCCATGGAAGCACTTGAGTTTTTTCAATTAAGAGAGATTCAAGTAAGGTTTCTGTGTCTGTTACGTGTTATCTCTTAAGTTTTTAAAACATGATAACAATATTTCTATTTATGTAAGACTATTTAAAACTTTATTTTCAGTCAAATTACTATTTTTGGGTTGCCTGACCCCCCCCACCAAAGTCAGCAGGAGTGCCCAGGAGCATCCCATGTAGTCTTACTAAGCCTTCACCTCTTCTCTGATCTTTTTGTGAAGTGGCTCCACTAAATGGCTTTCAATAACAACTGAAGTTTCTCTTCCATATACTGAAAATCTCAGCCACACCATGCTATTTCTGGGATAAAAAAACCTCCACAAAGACTCTGGAGTCACCAAGGAAGAGGGGAGAGAAGGTTTTTTGTTTGTTTGTTTAAAAAAAAAAAAAAAGTGATTACTAGCAAGATTATTTGCTCTTTCCTCCTTCTGCAGTTTCTCCTTCTCCCTTGCTCCTAATACTGCATATATCAGATCCAAGTTGCCAGCTCTGGCAAACGCCGTCTCGCGATTCACTCCTGGGCCTGACTGCATATGCTAGAAAGTACCATAACCATCAGGCAAGCCCAGCAAATGCCTGTTTGCTGGTTGATTAAATAACGCAGAACCTCTATTTATCAAATCCAGGCAGAGCTGCTATTGAGTCAGCTGTTCTTACCTTCCGGTTTTTGGATGATTAGAGCTGCAGAGCTAGTTGTTGGCTTGGGGATGTTCATGGCTGGGGTCCCTGTGCACATGGTTCACCTGAGCCTGGAAAACACAGTTGTGGAGATATAAAGAGGTCTTGACATTATATACACGGCAACGACATTTGCTAGTCTTTTCTGCAGGAATTAAAGTACAGTCTCCTCAAGTTTTTTTCCCCCCTGAAAGTGGGGTAAAAAGTAGCTGAGCCACTTTCTTCTGTATCAGACTGGTGAGATCAGCATAAAAAATTCACACCACCCTGGGACATATTTCAAAAACATATAAACAATTAAACAAACCAGTGCCCTTGCAAGAGTAGTATTTTTGGGGAGGTACTCGACAGCAACACAGAAAGCCTGTGGGACATTTGGTGTTTAGGAGGTTTGGGCAGCACGAAGGAGCACGGGGCCGGGTGCCATCCCCATGCCGCAGAGGCTGTTTGGGCTGGCTATACTCAAAACGTTAAAAATGGCACACTGGCTTCATGCTGTGTTCATAAACATGTCCATCAACTGCAACCTTTGGGGAAGGGGCTCTACTGAAACCATTCACTTGCTGAAAAACAAACTGCCATTCTTTACCTTCTAACCCTTCAAAGCAGCTTATCTCCACTGCAGAATGTAAAATCCACTCATTACATTCACTACACAAGTGCTATTTAAAATTCACCTGCATAGTGAATTTTACAGCTCATTCATGCTCAGCTCAGTAGCTCAGAATGGCCCCGTAACATGTGCAAACTTTTGACTGAAGCAGAATTTTGCTAAAAACAACTGAATGAGGACTCCGTGAGGCTTGGCGCAATTACATTTTACTGAAAAACATCTAAACATGTGGGCAGAGAGCAAGACAGATGAGATGAAGGTTCAAAACTACTACTGCAATTTTTATTCATTAGTGCAGAGACATACCAGTGGGCTACAGAATACCCCAAGAGCACTGACCCTCTTCTCCACACATTGCCCTCTTTCTCCTCTTAGTAAGCTGTATTTTTAGGAGCCCCCACAGGATTTATTAGCTTCAAGATATTGATTGTACTAAGTACTTTTTTTCCCCGGAAAATTTAGTGCAAGTTTTCTGTTTACTAGCACAAGCAGTAATAGGCAGCCCTTTTGCTGCACTTTCCCTGGCCACACACAGCCCATGGGAGTAAGAAGGAGCCCGGTCCCGGAGCAGAGATGCAGTGGGCACAGGAGGCCACCGACACACGGCAGGACACAACCAGCCTCCCCCAGTACCACAAACATGCCTGTGTCTCTTACCTGAGCGAAACGGCTGCGGGGAGCTCCATGTCACCCTGCTCTCAACCCAAAGCTGCACTGTGCAAGCAGCAGGGAGGAAGGGCCCTGCCTGGGTGCCCTGGGGCAGCCCTTGCAGCACAGCTGGGGATTTAACACATTGCACCTAGGGCACACGACTGGTGGCAACCTGGAGCATGGTGCCTCACTGTCTGTATGTAAACACATACAGTAGCTACCTCAGCATAAAAGATAGAAGCAAATCCACATATCTGGGATTTTTTGAGAGACCTGGAAAGAAAGTGAACAAAAATCCACAATGTGCAGCTAATTTCTCAACCAAGCAGGAACCGTTTCAAACTGCTCCTTCAAAGCGAACCGCTTGCGAGCCCAAGCACATTGGCAGCTTCAGTCATTAAAAGGAGAGCAAACAATGGTGAGATTCTGTAATTTATTACTGTCGCTAAGATGAACACAGATACTTGATACCCAATCGTATGCAGAACTGTAAAAAAATAGTTTTAATACAGTATCAAAATTTACACAAGTGTAGTGTCAAAAGACCAGTGTCCCTCAAATTAGCCCCTGCACATACGTACTGCAGGCACAACTACATGTTTTACATTTTTTCATACATATATATAGATATATAGGAATACAACAATTGAAGTTTAACTATGCAAACAATATATATGGGAGAAAACAACATGTAGAGATAACAGACAACTGTTTGGGCTGAGTTATATATAAGAAATTATGTAGGAGTGCAATGTTTCAAAATGGAAGGCTGGATTCTGCATTTCCAACTCAAGGAGACAGAGTGAACAGGAGTTTTGCCCAAGAAAGCAACGCTGGATCAGAGGCCTTACATTGAATGATACCAAGTAAAAACAACAACGGAAACCAGTGTAATTACTGCTGCAAATTAACACACTTTTTCTGAAGACAGTTAGCAGATTTACATCATAGTCCTATATAACAAAAGATTGTACAGTAACCGAGCTACATCCCACTGCAAATAGCCCACGAATACAGCACGTTGCAAGCTCAGAGAAAACAGAGGTTCTGACTTTGGCTCAAATCTTAGTAACCAAGAACAAACCAGAAACCCAGGAATTGTTGCATTCCTATTTTTTTGGTTTTTTTTAAACTTCTACTAGTCTTTTTGATGCTCAGCTATTGTAAAAAGTTAAGCAACAGCACTCAGTCACAAGCCTGTTGCACATTCATACATGAAACTATCATTGCTTTTAGATATACACAAAATACGTATCATTGCAATTCAATACACACAACTAGTATCATACACATAGAGAAAAATAAACTAAGCACATCTAGGGTGCTGTCTGGTCAAGTCTCAGGCAATCTGAACAAGAGCTTTCTGCCTTATAATAATGAAAGACATGCTCCGAGTATAATGAAACCTTTTTCCTTGAAAGAACACTACAGTAGCAAGAAAAGCTTTTTTATAATGCAGTGCAATCTTTTAGATCCTTATAGACTCTTGCTAAATAAACCAGCATGCCTCTAAATTAAACAGTAGAAATTAGCATCCTGACAACTGGAAAATACTTTCCAAAAAAACCTGATGGAAATTCTGATTTGAGACCTGTAATAGTGATACCTAAGTATATTCATTAAAGGGCTGTGAATATCATACACGTCTTCAGAAGATGTGCATCAAAGTGAATGGAAAAGAGAGCTACCATTACTTTCATTTAGAAAGAAATTGTGTTTCACTACAAGTACTGTAGTTATGCTACACTACTGGCTGGTTAGGAGACTTTATGGTCTTTTAGCACCTCCAAAGGCAGGTATTCTACCAAAGCAAAAAAATCATCTGGAAATTGCCTAAGCACCATTAACCAGTATTTTACAGACCGTAGTGTGAGTTACCAAGAAGTGACTTTCTCAAACCTGCGGAGACCAAAGGCACAGTTCATCAACGTCTGTCCAGTCTGGTGAAAAACCCCTGTTAAATCCAGTGGAAAATTAGTTCAAACCTACTAGAGACTCACCATGACTAACCAAAATAAAACTTATTTCATGTAACTCCTGCAGAATCCCAATTATATTTTAGTTAGGATGGAAATACCTCAGTGCTTCTAAGTGTCGTGTGTTGAAGTGACGATGCGGCAGCAGCGTCTCACTAGCCAGTACGCCGAAACAGCAGTTTTTGGGGGACACTGACAACACAGTTCCTCTGAAAGACCTCTGTGCAGTCTCCACTAGTTTCCAACGAAGTCTCATGTAGTGCATACAGACACCCCGTCGTCAGCTGGGCAGTCGCTGTGGACACAGTCAGTTCTTTCTCTCTCATCGGCAGTTTAAACTCTTTCTCCTCAGAGAGAGAACTTGCTCAGGGCCTTTTACATAGGTCCTTTATATTGATTTCCTGACAAATGTTGTCTAATTCCAGGGCACGACCCTGCAGCATCTCCAAGTTTCCTCCACACAACCTAAAGGGAGGGACGGAAAGAGATCTCATTATCACCAGTTAAGATGTACTGGCATTCATATAGACATGCATCTGGAAACACCACACGTTCATTACACAGACCATGCAGCACAGGTAAGGACAGAGGGGAGGGACACACAACAGGAGAAGAGAATATTTCTCAAGGGATACAACATTCCTTTTGAACACAAAAAGCACATGCTTCTAGGTAAAAATGATTGAAAACAGAGACAAATGAACTAGCACGTGCATTACCAGGATATTTTGTGCTTCAGATACAAGACTGAGGACTTTTACAGGCCTCAACCGAAACTTTATTCAACTACTTCCCAAACCATATCTCTTGCAGAATGCAATTTAGAAGCATGAAGCTCAGTCCAGAGGAGTCTAAAGATTTCAAGTTAAAAAGCACAGAGCAGTTCTCCCCTTTTTCAAAGCATTTACTTGTTTAAAAATAAGCAAGGCATTGAAAGTGTTTATTTCATTTGTTCTTCCTTGAGATCAGAGGAATTGTGCACAGTCACTGTTCAATACATGCTTGCACGGTTTGTTGAACCAGAGTGAAATCTAAAATTTAGTAGAAGTTTGCAATTTTTTTCTTAGTGTGGACTACACATTATAAAGGTTTCCTTCCTCATACTCACATCTACTCCCATTCATGACTGCATAACATCCATGTTACAATTATGGAATTAAAAATGTAGAGAAGTTACACCCCCCAAAAAATAAGCAAGTATTCTATAGTGATTTATAATACGATTGACCAATTATAAGCACGAGAATCAGTAGTTTGTGTGGTATCACCAGGCATCTCTCCCAGGAGCCACTAGAAACCAGAGTGGTTTTTACCCCCATACTGTGTATTGCAATTTAAGATTATTTTTGTTTAATAATAATCAACTAGAACCAGCTAAACTATAATTGCTACTAAACCACTCATTAATTTCCGGAGCAATAGCAATATAACTGTCAAGAAAGGCAAAAACTGTTTTCCATTGTCATTATTATTATTTGTATTTTAACAGTGCCTAAAGTCCAGGAGCGAACAGAGACTGCATAAGCTGGAACTGAATAAATACAAAGCAGCTGGATCCTGGGAAGCTAACACCCTGAATAGACAACACAAGCTCCAGTTCCTACAGCTATTCCCAGGTCCTACTGTTATTCTGTGGAAGTGATGGGAAAATAACCCAGTTCCTCTGAGCCTTTGCTGAAGAAAACCAGAGTATAAGCATGAAAAACAGAAATACTCCAAAACTGGAAGCAATAAGACTACAGTCTTACTACACAGGGCCAAACAAATTAAAGTCCTTTAAAGGGAACTGTCTTTATTACTAATGGGTGGGCATAACCCAAACCCTACAAACTTTACATATGATCAGAGTCTTGCAGCCTGAAATCAGAAGTTACCACCATAAAAATATGTGTGTTCTAGCTATGTTTGCTGTATTGTGAAACACTGTGCCATGGCAAAAGCATGAAAATGGGTTTTCCATGAAACCTCCCAAATCGTCCATTTATGTCTGAGCCACTGGAAATGTCAGAGCGCTGGTATGATGAGATGGGCATTTCTTTCCAAGGTATGGTTGCTGATTTTCCTAACTGAATATTGTCAAAAAGAAAGGTCTCTCAGATGGCTTTTGTGAGAAGGCACATTGTACCTACACATTCCTTTCAACAAATTTTCTGGTCAGCAAACATTAGACAATATTTATCAAGCAGCTGATGCAGACACAATAATAAACTAAAAGGTGACACTTCCCAAAGTCCTTTATTTCCAGCTGAACAAATGACCCCTGATTGCTAGGAAGGGACAAACGAATACAAGACAGCCCTGCAAAGCCAACATCCTAAGCAGAACTGACAAGGTGGGGTCAAAAAGGAATATTCATGCCATTTTTATGTGTGGGAAATCGAGAAATCTTTATCAGCAACCACTTTTGCTTGTGCATACAGTGCAACAGATCTCTGGGTCTCAAAGGCATCACAGTAATTTTATTTGTGTCCTTTTCAGAAACATGGGATGATATAGGCTAAACTTCTGCAGATTTATCACCAAACTCACCTTTTGTGCTGGCATATGTACAGTTGTTTGCACAATCATGATAGCTATACACATTGCTGCCCTCTGTGCATGTATTTATTTGGCTCCCTGCATTGTATATGCATTTTGGATTTGCACATAGGGTTGTTTTCTTCTCAGTTCACTAGTTCAACAATGACTTGTCACAAGCACCACTAATGCATTTACAAGCACTCAAAAGAAAATGGAATACTTCAGCACTCCTGAATGCATTTTAAATAGTTACAGCAGAGTAAAAAGCCCAGAACCAAAAACTTCACTCAAAACTTCAGCAGAAACCAGATTGAATAAAGGACAGCCATAAGGTTCATGATACAGTCGTGGAAATTAATTTCAAGCTTACTTCCAACACACAGGAGCAAAAGGACGGAGACATCTTCTCCCTGGAAGCCAGTCAGAAACCTGCACCCTAACTGCAGATGAGAGCAGCTACGTCACCTGCCAGCTGTGGTAGCATTTGAGGCCCGTGGTACTTCACATGTACAGCATGAAATACTCGTGGAGATCTCTGGGCTCCCTTGCCCCTCTTGCCCAGCCACCCCACCAACCCCACACAGTATAGGCCACCTTCCCTTTGACTCCCAGCCCAAGTGAGCGTGCTGCAGCCCTGTGAACAAAACTTACCGGTAGAAAAATCATGAAGAACACTCCTCCAGACTTAATCCAGACATTCCTGTGCTTTGAAATTACCTCCATGCTCACTAATACGTGATAAACTACCTCTAAACTCACTGCTACGCATTGCTACATTCTCCTAAAACAAAGCAGGTAAATAAACAGAACGCAAAACCATTCCCAAATACGTTGTTGATGAAGTGGTACCAATATCATATGCACATCCTGAGGAGAGAATTTGCACATCTGTTGTCCTGATAAAATATCAACCTGATCATACAACACCATAAAGTTCATACAGCATGAGCTATACATCCAAATTGCATTTCAGTAGCAATTAAGATTATGCACCAAAATTACAGAGCCCAAAATGAAACTTGTCATCACTCGACTGTTTTCAAAGGCAAAATGGTGCCATGGAAGTGTTTCAAGTAGAACACCCGCAGCGCATTAGGCTGGAGAAAAACAGTGAGCTATAAACTGGAAGAAACTGCAATGAGAATGCAAAAGAAAAGAAACACAATTAGTTCATAACACATCCACTGTACTTCTAAGATGGACTAGATGAATAGCAGAAAAAGTAAAACAAGAAAGGAAATAACCATCTATTTTAGAAGTATAATAATATATCAATAGTCAAATCAGACATAGATCACAAAAGTCAGAAGCAAAGGTAGCATTTCAATGCCAGCGGTGGACCTTTGAATGGCTGGGGAACAAAGAGACAAGGCAGAACACAAGTATATATTTGGGACTTGCAAAAATGAATTGATAATGTCAAATTTAGGACATTAGCATTTTAGAAGTGGCATTACTTACATCACGAGAACTTTTATGGATTACTATTAGATATGTAGTCAGAAACTGCTTTTTTATCCATCAACTGCAAAGGAATAGCGTAGGCAAGAAAATACATAGATGCCATCGTACAGATGGGGAAACTGAGGCTGTCAGATTTCATCATACTTGCCAGACTTTATTCTTATGAAGGATAAATTCAGGTCAGCTGAGTCATACAGTACTTTATCCCAGATACATTGTCACACATATATTTTTCTGATCAATACTAACCAACACGTTAAAATTATAGTGTTCCTACTAAAACAGTAATTGCATTACAGAAAAAGTAATTTACTTAATTTCCATACAGAATCTTCAAGGGCATGCTGTCTGCATTTAAACAAAAAATACTTTGCCTCTTCAGGTGTTCCCAGGCTCAACATGGAACATAACATTAAACACCTTAAACTTACACTGCACATTTCTCCAGCCACAGCTGTTTCTATCTCACTAAGGTAGTGGTAACAGTCTTCAACAGCCTGCTGATTTGTATTTCCCTGAGCTTCCAAGACAAGGGTATGTTTAAAAAAGAAAAAGGGAAATTTCATTTTATATTTTTGCTTTGCAGCCACAAATAAGAGCAGTAGTATATTTAAGCTTTCATGGGTCCTTCCTGAGTATGGGCACACATATATAACTGACCAATTGCATTTAAAGGTAATTAGACTGATTACAGTGCTCTGGATTTCAGGGCAGGAGGGATCACTAAACCTTCTTGTCTGACCTCCTGGGTACCACAGAACACTTACTTTTCTGCAGCAACTCCTATACTTAGCCTCAGGCCTTGTCTTCAATTAAAACACACCTCAATTTAGTTTGTAAATGTCATAGCAGAGTTTCCAGTAGGTGACAGTGAACTCAGAACAGGAAAACCCAATGCAAGTTTCACAGGTAAGCCTGTGCCCTTGGTTATCCAGCCAGTCAGACTAGATAATGATCATCCTTCCACAAACATAAAACCTGGTCTGCAAAGCAAACCTGTGTGGAATATGCATACCTCCATGCACAGGCATGCAGTTTGGGCATATACAACTTGCAAAAAGCCCCAAACACATCCTGCCATACGAGAGAACTACTTATATATCCCTAGTGATACCACTTGCACATAGTGAATAATCCCATAACCACTGGCAGGGTGGGGAAGATCACCAAGTCCCAGGCATGGGGGACACACACACGGCAGTTTCTTCTTTCAACCGCCCTGCATGATGGATCAGGCCATGGAACAGCCTTTACCAGACCAGCTGCGCGGCAAAGCTCTTCTCTCACTTTCACCACTGCCTCCACCAGTGGGAGATTCACAGGCAATTTTTTTTTAAAGTCTCCTTATTACTCAGGAAAAAAACAGCACTATGTTTAGCAATGAGCCTCCTCTGTTTTCTTATGGATCTGTCCCTTTAAAATACATTCCTGC